TGGAAAGAAGTTCACCCAATATAATCTTCATCTTCCAGCAAAATTATAATTGGATAAGAATATTTTTCAGTATTCAAACAGGCGCATCAGGCAAATAAGAACTAATGGTTCCTAAATCATTGCCTCTAACGATAGATTTTTCCTGCTCAAATTGTGCCTATGCACCTTTTCAAGTCTGTTCTTGAACATAACCTTGGAAAGTGAAATTCATCACCATTTACAACTCTGAGAATTACATTTCATCTTGTTTCAGCTATAAGCTCATTACAGCCCTTGTACATGCATTGACATTTCCCAGAAGACTAACAAAGATGTTCTTCAATGTTAAGTGAACCCCATATCTATATCCCAATTCTTGAATCACTCTCAATGTCGAGGGATATGTTCAAAACTCTGTTCGAATTTTTAAAACAAAAGGAAGGATGTTCATTTTAGTAAATCAGTGTTCCAGATACCTTTTGTTTATGTTGTTCATCTATATATTAATGAGCATTTTTGGGAAAACAAAAACACATAGTTATACCTATAGATGAGCCATATTAAGCGCAAGCACCTTGCAACCATTTGAGGAGATACCTATTATTGCTTAATCATTTCATGTTCTCTCTGTTTACTACAGAAAACCAAACAATGATGTTAGTGGGATACATAATTCTGAACTAGAATACAAAATCACTTACGAAGAAAGTTGTATAAAAACAGGAACTTGAGAAGGAACTAAATACCCTATTTGTCCAGGTTTCTGTAACGAATTTTGATTCCTGTCATTAGTTTGTTTCACACTTCACAGACACCACTTTAAAGGTACATAATTGCACAACTTCAAAAGGAATAATCATTTATTAAAAAAAAAAAAAAAAAATAGTGGGATACATAATTCTGAACTAGAATACAAAATCACTTACGAAGAAAGTTGTATAAAAACAGGAACTTGAGAAGGAACTAAATACCCTATTTGTCCAGGTTTCTGTAACGAATTTTGATTCCTGTCATTAGTTTGTTTCACACTTCACAGACACCACTTTAAAGGTACATAATTGCACAACTTCAAAAGGAATAATCATTTATTAAAAAAAAAAAAAAAAATCTCATTACTTGAGATTTTTTATAGTCGAGACTCAAGGTCTACAGGATTATGACATGGGTAAGAATTGGAAGCATTGGAGCAATAACAAGAATAGATTCGCTCCACCTTTTTATTGTTTGACATATATACAAAATTAAAAATTCTGCAGTCACTGGTTATAAAGACACCCCCAAACTGGTTAGATTGGTCCATCAAGACACCATAAACAAATGTCAAGTTAAGAAAGGCCTAATACTTATTATATCACCAATAATCTTGGCACGAGCATAAACCATTCTTAAACTGATGGAATCGCTTTATATCTCTCACCACAATCTCCCTTTGATATATCTTACTCGCATGCTTCATCAAAGAATGACAATCCCCGCAAATACGCAGGTTTTTAACAATCCTAAGAATCGTTCCAGGACCTGTGCTAATGAGCCCAAAAGCAAGTGCTAATTTCTCGCTATGACTTCCTAGTGCATCTTCTTTCTCTTCCTCTTCAATATTATGAAGTACCCATTCAGTTTCTGGCATGTAACCTTGCTGTCTAGCACCTGTTGTTATTTCATCTAGTCTCAAGTATATCTCTTGCGTACTCTGATGAGAATGATCACCAGCTACAAAATTATGCACTTGGTCATCCACCTCAATGGAGCTCCATCCAGGATCTTTGTCAACACCTCTATCTTTCATGGAAATTCTCACAGTTTCCACGTCTTCCCATCTCCCTACCCCAGCATAAACATTTGACAGAAAGACATAGCTCCCCGGATGGTTAGGCTCGAGCTGCAGGAGCTTCTCTGATGCAAATTTTGCCATTTCAATATTTTTATGAGCTCTGCAAGCACAAAAGAGTGAACCCCAAATCACAAAATCAGGATCCCTTGGCATGCTTTGAATAAAATTTAGCGCCTCCTTCAGCTGTCCAGCCCTGCCAAATAAATCGACCATAATGGCGTAATGCTTCATAGTCGGCTGGATGAAGTAGTCATGCTTCATGCTATCAAACAAGTGAAGGCCCTGGTCCACTTGACCAGCGTGTGAACATGCAGTTAAAATGGCAAGAAAAGCAACATCATCTGGTTTCACTCCTACAAACAACAAAAATCATGTTTTGATTTCGCGTAATAATCCATGGTATCATTAAGAAAGCAGCATGAATAACTATGCAAAACTTTAAGAAATGTACTAACCTGACGACTTCATCGTCTCAAAGTAGCTAAGAGCTTTCTCATTATGTCCATGTATTCCCCAACCCCATATCATCACACTCCAAGTACGAATATCTTTCTCCTTCATCTGCCCAAAAACTTGGCTTGCAGACTTAATATACCCACATTTTGCATACATATCCACTAGAGCAGTTCCAACAGCAACATTAAACTGAAACCCATGACTTGAAACATAATCATGTATCTTTTTGCCTGCCTCAAGTGCTCCAATTTTTGAACAAGCAGAAAGTGCAGAAACAATGGTTAACTCATTTGCCCTGACTCCCTCCTTTTTCGCCATCTTCATAAACATCTCTAACGCCTTTTCATGCATCCCATTCTGTGATAATCCATGGACAATTGTTGTCCAAGAAACCACATTCCTCTCCTCCATTCGGTCAAAAAATTCAACGGCCTGTTGCACCTCTCCATTTCTCATCAAACCATTAATCATGCTATTCCAGGACCCAATATTTCTCTGTGGCATCACCTCGAACAACTCTAAGGCCTTCTTCAACTCCCCATTTTTGCAACATCCATTAATTATCACATTCCACAAAAGAACACTCTCGGCCCTATTTCTCTTAGTACTTCCATCGAAAACTTTCAAAGCATGCCCCAACAACTCCACCTTCACATACATATCAACCAAAGAAACCCTCACAAAATCATCATACTCAAGACCCATTCTCAATATCCCACCATAAACTGAATCCCCCGCCCATTTTACATTCAACCCCGCAACAGACTTAAGTACGAAAGGAAATGTAAGCCTATCAGGTCTAACATCTAGCTTCAACATAAGCCTAAAGAGCTGAATTGAGCTAACAAAACAGGAACTCTCACATAACCCTCTAATCAATGCATTAAAAACAAACACATTCGGGGACTTGAAATTACGAAATATCGAAAGTGCATAGTCAATGGACTTACGGGAAGACGAGGAAATTAATTGGGTGGTGATTTTGGAGCTGGAAGAAAGGCCGTGAAGCGTAACGTGGGAATGGATTTGTTGGAGTTGAAGTATGGTTTTGGAGGCATGGATGAGTGATACAAAATGGGTTTCGATTGAATTTTCATTCTGACTCGGATTTGAAGCGAAATTGGTGAAATTTTGATTTGGTTCCTTGACGTGTTTACTCATGGAGGGAATGACAGTTTTTAATTGAGAGACACTACGAACATTACTCATTGAAGCGCGAGTGTTTTGGGGGTCTTGGTTCTTTTGAAGGCCTAATATTTCAGTTCGATTGATACGAGGCCCTTGAATGTCTAATGATAATCCACAACTTTTTTTGATATTAGAAGTAAGAATAATAATAATATATATAATCTTATGACAACGTTATTATTGAATATCGATTTGATTCGATTCCTATTAAATTAAATTGGGTAATATGTAATCAAATTGAGAATTAAAAATTTGAATGTTGTCCTCGATTCTAGAACCAGAGCCAAGAACGGAATGAAAGATCGAACAATTGTTCATTAATTGGTTGGTAAGTATTACTAATGTCATAAAAATATGTTATTTATATTTTATTTTTCCATGTAGTTTTGATGGCTTGAAGCGAAAAATCAATGGGATGAAAAGGAAATTTGCATATGTTTTGCTATTATTAATTAGTTTTAGATCATTCATATATCAACGTGAAAGATTTTATTAGACAACTTGTTATTAGTGTTTTTTAATTTAGATCATATTTGTCATTTTATATTAAATGGAATATATCATTTGCTAGATTGTTGTATTGTTGAAAATAGATGGTGGAATTATGAGAATATTTTTAAACTGAACTGAACAATTCGATTTCAATATTAAAGCTGGACCTGACATCTTCATTTACAAGATATCTAGTAAATCTTAGTTTGGTTCGATTCTCTTTGGAATTGGATCGAATCGGGGTGTGCCTACCATATTATTAACTATCTCGCAACATATTTTAAGTAGTAGTAGTGGAATGATGACTTCGCTTGGATTCAACTTTTAACTTCTCCAATTATTAATAAATGAAATATCAATTTTAACCCTAATTAGTTAATTAATTCCATTTGCTTCCTAGATTTATTAATATTCCAAAATAAATTAAGAAATCAAAATGCTGCAAATTTATCCATAAAAATAAATGTAAATTTATTTTAATATTTTTCTAATGGACTGTGCCTTTAATTTGTAATTTTATAAACTATGAGATTTAAAAGTCATTAGTTTTTCTATTTTATAATAATTATATTTAATACATTGTCTTACCAAAATATTTGATGATAACACATTGCTATAAAAGTAAAAATAAATTTTAAAATAATAATAATGCAAAAGGACATAATTATAATTAATGTCAATTTTAGTAGTTGATTCTGAAACATGCAACAATTCTGAAACAAAAGTTTATCACAACAATACGAAGCCAATCCCACATCGGACTCAATGGATCGGTTATAATTACGTCCAATAAATTTAGCTTAGAGTGAAAACTATAAAGTGTGTAATCTGCATATTACACTTCGATTCTTTCCAATTATATATTGTTCATGTTTGAGCCCCATTCTTTAAATTTTACTTTTAACTATACATTCTCTCAATAAATAATATTGCACGTAATTTCAAAATTTTTTCCTACTTTTTAATCACACATTCTTTAAGAAATAATTTTATTTACAAAATCTATTATTAAAAAAATGGGTTGAAAGAGGGGCACTAATTCATGTAAGTTCATGTAAATTAAGATTAGACATCCCACTAGAAAATTGGAATCTTCCTATGGTGTATTTCATTAGGCATTGGCAACCGTGAGCAACTTAATTCGAAGGAAATTGGTGAGTGAGGGAAGGAGGAGAATACTTGACATGCTTTGTTTATCTGCAAGTCAGCTTAGGTAGTGTGACACTCTACCATTGAGCTAATAGTCTGTCGTGCGAGCCTTTCGTTGGAGCCCACTAAATAATGAGGTGGTGCTAGGGACGTCAACGAGCCCAGTCAGCTCTCGAATCGAAACTCAAAGCTCGAGCTCGGTTCGAGTGAAATCGAACGGGCTTTTTTCGAGTCGGAGCGAAGCCGAGCTGAACCGAGCAAAAACTCTACCAAAAAAAAAGGCTCAAGGCGGCTCTATTCTCTCTCTCTCTCTTTTAATTTATTTAATTTATTTCTTATAAAATGATGTGGTGGTAGGGATGTCAACGAGTCGAATCGACTCGCGAGCCGAAACTCAAGGTTCGAGTGAAATCAAATGGGCTTTTTTCGAGTTCGAGCCAAGTGGAGCAAAAGCTCGATAAAAAAAAGGCTCGAGCTTGAGACGGCTCGATTTTCTCTCTCTCTCTCTTTTAATTTTATTTATTTATTTTTTATAATTATATTGGCTGCAAGCGCTGCTTTTTTTTTTTTTTTTTCGTTTGGTTTTTTTTTTTTTTTTTTTTAAATAAGGCTCGAGCCCACCTCAAAATGGGGCTCGACCCGAGCCAGCTCGAAATTTTTTCGGACTGAGCCACGGACGGTCCGAGTTAACGAGCCCAATTGACATCCCTAAATGATGGTATAGGATGAGGAAGCTAGTGAGGATTTACTTCTTGACATTTGGATCGTATTGTCCGTTGCTCTTGTCAATTCATTCTTCGTAATGAGAATATGGTGGCCCATGTGCTTGCAGCCTAAGCATGTCTCGATGATGGTTCGTCTATTTGGATTGATTGTATTCTGTTTTTCGTGTCTCGGCCATTCAAGGTGAAATTTTGTGAATGAAATTGTTAGCCTCCAAACACAAAATTATTCTTAAGTTAATTAAGAGATTTATGGAATTAAAATTCAATTTTGTAGCTACAATCAAGAACTGAAACAAAACCGTTCAATTTTCATTTCTAGAAACCAAAACCGTTTAGATGTCAACTAAAATTGAAAAAAAAAAACCCTCTAGTTTGACTCTTATCTGATTCAAGTGGTTCCACACCTTAAAATCTCATGCCGGACCGGGTTACAAACAAGTTAGCTCGGGCACCTAGAATATATGGACCCCTTTCTCTAGGGTTATTCTCCTAGTGCTGTACAAGGTTACAATGAGGGGACTGTCATGCTTAAAGTACAAAATGACGTACACCAAGCATGGTTCTCTCTCTTAATTTGAAAGTTGGTTGGTTATATTTTAAGGTAAATTTCCTGTCCACCCAACAAAATAAAAAGGAAAAAAGAAAAAATTAACTTTCCTCTCAAAAGGATACACAAATCTCAATCATTTCACATCCTGTTATAAAGTACCAACCTTCAACTGAATGCAAAATCAGTAAATCTAGGACACAAATACGATTCAAGAAGTTCGTTGCTGCCAGTATTGTAGCAAGACAATCTAACAGGCTAGAAAGCAGTTGCAGAACTGCCGTAAAGTTGCACCAGAAAAACACAAAATCGAAGGAGGAAGACCGGGTTCCCAAACATAGTGGGGAGAAGAAGTAAATAAGAATTGAAAACATAAGATAATTTGACTAGTAGAAATCAAATCATAGAGCAGGTTCCTTCGTTGAAGAACAGTGATCAAGGAGAGGATAATCTTTAAAATAACTTTTATATTGAAAATATTTTCACACACAAGTTAAATTATCAACCTTCAATGGTTCCCATCTGAGTAATAAACCAAAGGTCTCGAAAATAAGATTCGGAAAACAGCCAAACTCTAGAATTTGAAAAAGTTTATCATAGAACTCCAAAGAAAGGATTATTAATTGCACTGCTTAGCTCGTTCCCAGCAGACTGAAGTACCGCAGTGTCAACCTTTTCCCTTGGCAGATACAAAAATTCACCTCCTTCAATTTTCTCGAATCCACAAAGCTCCAGAAATTCGATGCCACCTTTCAGATTTCCAACTCTATCCTGTTAATTAAGCATGGCGGCCAGCAATTATGAGAATCAAATGTTAAAAAAAAACTAGTTAAGTGTATGATTCATTAAAATCGAAAGGAAAAACAACAAGAACACTACTCTTTTGCATCATCTGGAAGGGGAAGAAATTTATTTAAAAAAAAAAAAAAAAACAATAAGAACAAAGTAATCGTTTCACCTGAAAGGCAGGATTGCTCAGTTTAATTTTGCGGAATTTCTCCTCGTTTGGATTTGTTGCAACATTTTTTGCATAGGTAAACAGTGTGTTAAAAGCCGTCTTCACTTTAGCATCATTATCCTAATTCATCAAAAGTAGATAAAAGAGCAGCTCGGTCAAAATAAACTTCACCTGTGACTTAGTGAAATCTATTGCAACGTCTAATCAGTTTAAACACAATTAACCAGAACAAACAAAAATCCAAATGTAAAAAACAGCAGTTACATAATGATAACCAATCAAAACTCTTCACTCCTCCAGTCAAAATATCTTATTTTTCAACATTTACATATTTATTCATAATGAAATATTTCTTACGCATGTAATGAAATGTTCATTGTGCATATACTAGTACTTTTGGCATATAGATATCTGGTCATTTATTGTATCCTCAATATCATATTAGCATCATGCTTCCTTTAACTCATCACAAGCTAGGTCTTCTCATTCAATATAACAAACAAACAGAAACATATAAATAAAGCAATCATTACTTTATGATTCTGTTTAAGGTTTCGTAAGCACTCTCTCATTTGCTCTGCCTTTGTAGCTGGCCTGACAGGTAGTGAGCTCTGCAGTTTGGTATCGAAAAAGAAGTTTAATCGGCCACGATTTGACAGCAATAGATAGATGATAGTGTAGACCATATTTAATATCATAGTCAGACAAGTACATACTTTCTTTTCCTCCACAGGCGGTGGCGGAGCAGATGGTTTTACAGCAGCAGGATCTTCTGGAGGCAACCCAAGCTTCCGTCGTCTTTCAGCCTGTTAAAACAGAAACACATTGTTTCAAATGCTGCATGTAATTTACAGGTAATTTGGGCAAGGGAATTGCTATATTTAGATTTCAAGGTAACCTAATGACATTTTGTTTTGTAAGACAACAGGTTAGTGCATTGTTTACAGCCCCATCAGAGTATTGCAGATCAAAAAACAGTTTCTAAATCTTGAACTCCATTAACATGGTCACTACCAAATCAGCCAAACTTACTCTAATTTCTTGGCTCCAAACAGCACCACATATTTCATTATTTTCTTACACAAGCGGAGAAGTGAATATACAGGCTATCTACCTCAAACTTATACACGACTAATAAATATAACAAAATTGTTGGTTACCAATCCATCACTAAGCAGCTGTATTCAAAAGTATTTTTGAAGTTGAG